AATAGTCCCCTACTGCGCTAATCACAAAAGAAACAACTTGAGTTACTGCTTGGTATATTTCGCCGATTTTCCTTATCAGCTCTATGTACCTCTGTACTTTCCCTTTCAAGTCTTTGTACCTCTATATTTTCGATTCCTCTGCCTTCACGATGTTCTTATTCCAAGGTACCGCAACGTCTATCAGGATCCATTCAAGGCTGCACTTGTGCACAAGGGTGATATCAGGGCGATTGCTCTCCAAGCGCTTGTCATTCAAGATGGTCCTATCCCACATGAGCTTCACTAGCTCATTCTCGATTAATGACGGTGGTGGATGTTCGTACCACTTCTCAGTGCAATCGAGGCCATACTTTCTGCATAGTTCCCAATACATTCTAAGGGAAACTTTGTCAAGGAGTCGTCTGTAACCTATGTTTGTCAGATGATTACAGCCACTGACAATGTTAAATCAGCTCTTTTGTCAATAGAATACTAGATTAAATTTGTTCTTTATTATTATTATTATTATTGCGTTTTGCTTTTGCTTTGTGTGGTACTACTTGCCCCCAAGTCTCGTCCATAGATTTCAATAACCAATTTTTCTCCTTTCTTGTATCAGAAGATGCAATCAGATGTGGTGCAAGACATTCAGGGATAAAAAAAAATATATGTAATTGTGTTCATTGTATAGAGAGAAACTTATGCAAGTTGTGAGGGGTACCAAGGGAATATTTTTTTTGCAATTCATATATTTTAGGGCTACCAAGAATTTGTTCCGCATACTTGTTTGCTATTTTGATATAATTCCCAAAGATCTAATAAAAACAGGTAGTCTTGTCTTGAAATACTATATTCTATTGATTTCTGTCTCGATATTCTTGCTTTTACTTAATTTCTCAAAGGTTTTCAAAGATATATTTTTGTAGAAGAAAGGTATTTTCAACATGATTTTAATGTAGTGATATAAGATGTTTTTATCATGGATATATTAATGTCCATAATGAGAGAAATACAAAAAGGAGAATAAACCTTTCTTCCATCCATTATCAGGTTCAACTCGACATGATATGATATTATTAACCGACAAGAGACGAACTCCAATTTAACTTAACATTATGCAGCTTATATTAAGAGCATAAATGAATGGCGAAACATGACCGTCACCTAAGAAACGTATATATGATATACGTATATATGATATAAACGTATATATGATATACGTATATATGATATAAACGTATATATGATATACGTATATATGATATAAACGTATATATGATATACGTATATATGATATAAACGTATATATGATATAAAACGTATATATGATATACGTATATATGATATAAACGTATATATGATATACGTATATATGATATAAACGTATATATGATATACGTATATATGATATAAACGTATATATGATATAAACGTATATATGATATACGTATATATGATATAAACGTATATATGATATACGTATATATGATATAAACGTATATATGATATACGTATATATATATAAACGTATATATGATATACGTATATATATAAAACGTATATATGATATACGTATATATGATATAAACGTATATATGATATAAACGTATATATGATATACGTATATATGATATAAACGTATATATGATATACGTATATATGATATAAACGTATATATGATATACGTATATATGATATAAACGTATATATGATATACTTAATTGGATGAAGGATCCGAAATATGAATTCTGCACAGTTAAACCTTTACACAGTATCGAATCTTCATAACCAAATGTAGGATATCTGCAATGCCGAAATTAAATGATCGGGTAAAGATACCAACGTTGAAGAATAGATCAAAGAATACCACTTCTTGAGCGAACGAACTTGTTTAAAATTAAAAGGGACAAAGAGAATCATAAGAGAGAGAGAGAGGGAGAGAGAGAAGGGAAAAGAGAAAACCTTATTTTATTTCAGAGGAAGCTAAGTTTTTGTTTCAACTTTTTCCCTAATAAATTAAGGCATGCATCTTTCCACACAGAAATGCATATCATACATCTTTCCACCCATTCTCATATCTCAATGTATTTTTTATGTATAGCCTAGTTGTAATTAAATATTGTTAATTTGTATATTGGCGTTTGTCGTTGGTCACTGTTTGTTATCGTTTCGAAATCGTCAATTTGACTCCGCACCGAATCTTTCCACTGTGGAGTGGTAAACCTGAGCGTCTTTTAGTCGACGAGTTGTTTTTTTTTTTTTTAATCTTTTCTTTTTAAACTTTGTGCTGCGGTAATTGACTGTAACATTGTTCAATGCCACGACGATAGAAATCACTTCATTTTTTACGACCTCCTGCCAACGATCCACTAAGTGTCCAATGACTCGACGATAGAAATCCCTAGGATTTGACTCGAAAAATTCATCAAGCCACGTTTTAATCTCCCCGTCGTTGTTGAATGACCCCCTCAAATTGTTAGAAAGCAACCGAAAAAGGTGGTAGTCTGATGGGGCTAAATCAATAGAATATGGTGGGTGTGGCAGAACTCCCCAACCGAGCTGTTTCTTTGTATCCATTAGTAGCCTAGTGTTGAGCGAGTAAACTGATGGCAATGGAGGAGCGTTGGAGTTTGTTTCCCTTGGTCAATGCGTGTGGCACGCATGCGCTGTTTTTCTGGTCCTTACCCATTGAGCGAAAATGACGAGTGACAGTAACAGGAGAACTTGTCATCTTCCTAGTCAATTCCCTTGTGGTCTGATGCAATACTTCTTTAATCAGTGCATGCAATTGTTTCGAGCTGAACAGGTCGGCCAGAATGAAGAGTCTGTGAGTTTGAACTTCCCCTTTTTGAAACGGGAAACCATTTCTGCGCCATTCTATCGGTAATGAAGTCATCTCTGTACACAGCCTTAATGTCTTGAACAGCTTTGTGACTTAGGCTAAAAGCAAAAAGAATAAGATGTCAATCATACTCATTCTTGTCTACTTGGAATTCCATCGGAATGGGTTGGTTAATCTGAAATAAAATTCCAATAACGTTAAGTAACAGTTTAACATGATGACTAGATTTACTAAGAAGCAAAACAAATGCAACGAAAGATTATTCTTCGAAATCATTCGCATAACATAAAAAAAATGAACAAATATAAATAACAAGCTAATATTTCTAATAATATTTAATATAATATCATTAAAGGGAGATAATCTCAGCGGCACCTGTTCAGGGTAGATTGCAATTAGTCGATATCTTTTTGCAATTTAGGTTCCAGGTAACTGCCCCATATTCGAGTACTGATTGAATAAATGCAGTGTAAAGGTGTTTTGCATTTTTCGGAGTAAGATTCGTAAAGCAACGTTTAGTTATATCTATTCTTTGATATACCTTCCTTATGATTTCAGAAATATGCGATGTTGGAGACAAATTGCAGGAAACTATAAAAACAAATATCTTATGTTATTTGACTTGATTAAGATACATACCTTTCCAGATTCGCGAAAAAATGAGCATACATGAGGAAAAAATGCAACAAACTTTATAAAAACAAATTTTTATCGTCAATATCTTTATGACATTATTAAGAGGAAGACCAAAAGATATTTTAATTATTAAATTATGTTTGATCCTTTTTAGAACGTTCAAAATTTAGATTAAAATTTTTTTCCTTGCGTCAACAGGGGGACGAATGTTTAATAAAGGAAATTTTATCGTTTTTTTTTGGGGGGTATTTTGTTTTTTTTTTGCGGTTAAAAACATAGTGATTTGAAATTCTTGCAAAATCAAATAATTGTCGGATTTTAATGAAACTTTCAGTATTTATTTTAAATTGAATGAAATTATTTTAGAAATGTGTGTGTGTGTTTTTTTTGTTTTGTTTTTAAATCTTGGTAAAAACTTTTTTTACACATGCTACCCCACTTATTTAATTTAATTGAAATTTTAAGAAATTAATTTTTACTGCTAATGTTTATATCAGTGATACGCAGAACTCCTTGAAAAATTGAAATCTTTTTTTTTTCTTGTAAAACAACACCCCAGTTACAGAAAGTTTGCTCTGAATCGTAAAATAAAAAAGGCAATAAAGCCAAGCTGTCATTTAATTAGAAAAGCTTTTAATTGTTTTTATGAATAACATATATTACGGATACTGTTGTCTTAAGAAAAAAAATTCGATGAATAATAAATTTTTTACAAGAATTGTTTATTAATTATTTAAAAATTTTAATTAGAATAATTTATAAAGTTTTAAATCTTTTATATTTCAGTATTAATTTATACCGGTTAGATGATATTTTTATTAAGTAAAAACTATATTTACTAGTCATAAATTGAAAAGCTTACTACAATTCAGTGTCTCCCAATATTTAAAAAAAGAATTTTGAATTTGTGTGTGTGCATATGTGTCTATAAATGTACCAATTTTTGTAAATATAGACGCCCATACACAGCATTATCAGAAAATAAGAGCGATAAGTATAGTAAATTTAATGCTAATGCACCTGATAATTTAATAAAATATCAGATTATAGAAAATATTTTCCTAAATTTTTAAGATTACTGAGTAGCGAAAAATTATATAAAAACAGGGATCACTTTATATTCCTCAAGCAATTTTTTCAGATGTGTCTCCCGTAGAAAAAACGTACTTGTATTGCTGCCGGTGAATACCCGGGAGTTCGACGATAGATACACTGATACAGTGATACAGTAAGAGTGTGAGGTAACCGCTTTGTAGGAGTCACAGTTACGAGCACGTAGAATTCCCCAGACTGTATATATATATATATATATATATATATATATATATATATATATATATATATATATATTATTATTATTGCTACTAACCGCATTTCTGGATCTACTAACCGTATTACCAATTGTATTATTACGTCAATACATTTATTTATATTTCATTCCTGCGTTTGTCATTCATTTGAGACCAGATTTCATCTCGGAATCTACAACAGTTTGTGATCATTTTTATATTGAGATTAGCTAAATTTCTTTCAGGTTCATTACTTATGGAGTTTGTAGGTAATATGCTGAAACTAATTTTGAGAATAGATAGATAGATAGATAGATAGATAGATAGATAGATGAACAAACTGAGATAGATAGATAGATAGATAGATAGATAGATAGATAGATAGATAGATATGGAATATGGAATTCAGTCACTTTCCCACCACCATAACGTAGCTTCCCTGTGCCTTTTTTTATGTGTCTTTTCTCTATCGTACCTAGACTTTATCAATTTAAGCGCAATACTAGGTCTCGTCATCTTACAGTTGAAATTTCTAGATGTAAACATAAGTTATATGTTAACAGTTCCTTCTCTCGCACTTCTCGCTTGTGGAATTCTCTCCCGGCTTCTTGCTTCCCATTCGACTTTAAGCTTCAAAAATTTAAATGCAATTTCAATCATTATCTTTTGTTATCTTAATTCTTGTTCTTTTAATCCCTCTCTCCTTAAGAGCAGTTTTTCTCATATTCTCTAACACTCAGTAATCCCGTGAGTCTTAGTGACTTTATTGCCTTGCTTGGGGTGAAATGATTAAAAGTTGATAGATAGATAGATAGATAGATAGATAGATAGATAATGAATAGAATGAGAAAGAAAGAAATAAAGAAATAGACTGAGATAGATAGATAGATAGATAGATAGATAGATAGATAGATAGATAGATAGATAGAATGAGAAAGAAAGAGATAGATAGATAGATAGATAGATAGATAGAATGAGAAAGAAAGAAATAGACTGAAATAGATAGATAGATAGATAGATAGATAGATAGATAGAATGAGAAAGAAAGAAATAGACTGAAATAGATAGATAGATAGATAGATAGATAGATAGATAGAATGAGAAAGAAAGAAATAGACTGAGATAGATAGATAGATAGATAGATAGATAGATAGATAGATAGATAGATAGATAGATATTGTTATAAGGAGTGTTTCCATAAACAATAAAGATAAGAAAAGTTCAATTCGTTATATTTAATTATAATCGGTTATATTAGAAGTATTCCAAAAGACTCAGCGAATTTAAAGGACTAAATGGTTCTTTAAAGAAAAAAAAACAATATATAAACTAAGGCTCTTTATTTCCCGTAGAAATGTGTGAAATGTTAGTTAAGACGCGGGAAACGTTGGAAAACTGACAATTTAACAGCTTGATGAATTTGTTAAAATTTTCCAGAACCTTCAGGTAATACACATATACGAAAATGTGCAAAACTAGATCCGTCGAAAATGATAATTTTCTTTTTGTCTGTAAATGTTACAATCTACAACCTACCAAAATAAAGGCTTCCCAAACGAGACAAAATATGAAATTTTAAATTAGTTTAATGTTCGGTAATTTAATAACCAGTGCCTAGGGGGCGCTTTTGTACTTAAAAGGATTCTTAAAAGCAGTTCATCCTAATTTTAGATGGCTTCATAAAACCATTTATTCTTCCTATTCTCTGAAGGTATCGGTGTAAGTTATAACATTTAAGCTAGCCGAAACAAAGCAGATATAACATGTTCAATGATTAATATTACCTTTGTGTGTTTGAATTAACGCGTTCATGTCGCTATGAAATCTAAATAAATATACATATTCACTTTTTCAAGTGATGTGTATAGCCGTATATACTGGTTTAAATGTTTTAATTGATTTATTTATTTTACTTATTTATTTATTCGCCCGTTCGGCCCTCGTTTTAAGATCAAGAAGAACGTATTTGTTTTGTCACTATTTCAGAGTAATGCACTGAAAATCCCGAGATATTCATGTGAATATCAATAGCTATGTAACAGATGAAAGCGAGAAACGCACAAGGCAAATGGAATGTATGTATTCATACGTTTAATTGACTTGAACATGAAGACGTGAAAAGAAGAAAAACGAGAAAACTACTAACGAATGGATGAACAGAATTTATTATTGAATAAGCTGATAAAAGAAATATATTTAAGAGGATAAGGTGGGGGTGAATTGAAAAGGAAAACAGCTGAAAAGAAACAAAGAAAGAAAATGTAGTTGAAAGAAGGAACGAAAACATGGTAAAGAAAGAAATACAAGTTGAAAAATGAATAAAAATTGACAATGCTTCGTCACGCTAGGAGAGGCTTTCAAAAGTTTTTTTTTAAAAAAAAGGGTGCAAGTTCGAGTCTTGATTGTGGCTTTACGTTTTGTTTTCTTTTCTTTTTTTTTCACCTAATCTGAACTGCTTATGGACAGCCGTAAATAATGGCCTAGGTAAATGCCCGGATAATGGCTTCTTTTTTTTTTAATCGATATCACCTCATGTAAGACATGAGGTTACAGGGTGTGGAGGAATTAGGGACAAAAATATTAATAATGAGCGGAAAGAGAAAAGAGTAATCAGGACAGTAGATAGCGATTGACATTGCTTTCACATTTTTGAAGATTAAAGTTGGCTGGAAAGCATGGAGCCGGAGGCCACGATCGAAAAGTGCTAGAAAAGAAACTGTTAGCATAGAACTTACAATTATATCTAGCCGACTCAACAGTAAATTGATGAGGTCTCGACGCCAGTCTAGTATTGCGTTTAAATTTTAAAAGATCTCATCCGAACAATTAACAATTTCAAAATGTATAATTATAATTACTTTTCATTATGTATTTATTTAAATTTTCTTCTTCTATAGTTTACAGGTGTTTTTATAAATTTATGAAGAACAAAATTGTTTTCATATTTATTTCTTTATATGTAAATAAAAAAAAAACATGGCATTGCAGTTAGCTCCCATATTCTCATAATTATGTAAATATAAAATTATTCTTGTAAATAAACAATGTAATAAAATAAATTGTGATTAATTCTTTTGTTGTTGATTCTCAAGTAAAAATTTTATGTATAATGTTTCATATGTTTGGGTTTTATTAAAATTCTAAAAAATGCTTAATAATAATTGTCAAGGCAAAAGACAATAATAGCGACGTCAAAAGAAAAATTGTTCTTTTGACACGTTTAATCATACCTATTGTTTATTAGCCTTCTTTATTATTTCAGAAATTTGGAGACAAATTGCATGGATTGGAAGTAAAATAACCAAGTCTCTTTGTTCTTTTACTTGATTACGACAAACTCCAACTGAACTTCATCACAACACACTTTCTAGATGCTATAATCAACTCCTATCTGGAAGTGAATTTAAATCATCTTGAAGCCTTTTTCGTCACTGATGCAATGGTATCGATTAGCATCATCAGCGAATAAATTAAAAATTGCATGAAACTAAAATACCCAAGTCGCTTGGTTCTTTTACTTGATTAAGGCAAGGCGGGTATGTTTGTTAAACCTTATCAAGTAGAAAGCAACTGAAATTAAGATGGAAGTAACAGTAGACGAAAAATTAGCAGTAATTGGTAATGAACGATATTTATTATTCTAAAAGTTCCCCAGACTACTAACTTGTCTTAGGAGTAAGTTTGTTTCTTGGTTTGTTTGTTGTCTTTTTTTTTGGTGTTGTTTTGTTTTTTATTTTTTTTGGGTGGGGGGGTTGTTTTTTTGTTTTTTGTTTTTTTTTATGGCCGAGTGTTACATGTTGTCTCCGATTGTCCTGATCCATTTCGTGTTTTGAGTTCTTCCAGATGTTCGATGCCAGTATTTTGCATAAGTGTATCTGGAAGCGTTACGGCTTGTCGACCCCTGTTCTTTCGTCCTGTTGATAGTTACTATAAACGAGTTTTGATGCAATTTCTTCTGGATGGGGTAAACTTCACTCTTCTGAATGCTGTCATCTTTCAACACTGCTGTTAGCCTGTTCACCCTTCCGAATGCTATTTGATGTAATGAATATGCATACACCTGGGTTCCACCTCACAGTAATATGATTAGCTGGTGTCAGCCATAAATACAGACTGATGTGGAGGTACAGGAAGATGCCTATAGTCTTCGCCTATTGCCTATGCCTATTGCCTACCATTACGGTTACCTGCTAAGATTGTCCTACCCGCTTACAGTAGTCAACAACCACTTTGCTACTTCGAACAAATATATCTCTTTCGACACTGCTGTTAGCTTTCCGTAGAGTTACTCCTTCGTTAGTTTGGAACTCCGGTCTCTAGGACATCATCCATCTAGCTTCTTGCAGAGGGTTTTGTCGGTGGCCCACATCTCGCTAGAGCTCTTCTAACTTTTCACAAATTAGACATCCAAGAGCCAAGGTATTTGAAGTCTTAAACGATTTTAAATTGGAAAATAAATAAAAGTACCTTTTTTTTTCTTATTTTCTTAATATTTTATTTTTTATTAGTTTTACTCCGTATTATTTTTGTCTTTTATCACAACACTTGATACATTCTTCATGAGTAATATTATTCTATTACAACTGGAAGACACGGAAACATGTTGAAAGTAACTGTCAAAAGCAACATGTTGGTATAATTCCTGTTAAGCAGCTAGTTTTTCGACCAGCTTTCATAAAAGAGGATCGTTGATAAATTTTAAAATATTAAGCCATAAACCGAAGAATCATTAAAAATGTCATTTTAAAATTCATAGAAATTCTCTTTCATGAGAGTTGATCGAAAAGCTGGTCACTTAAGACAAGAGGAACAATACAACCTGTTTTTTATGTGTTTTTCAACATGTTTCAACTTCTTCATACTATATTTAGGTTTTGTACTTTTAAGAAAGCGTTTATTTCTTACCTAGGCTTGCTCTATATCATTATTTATATATTTAATATTACACACTGTATCAATTCTTTATTATTACAATTATTTAATTAGTAGTTTTATCCCATCTTATTATTATTGCTTTTTATCATAATACACGTCCAAAATATATTTCGGTTTTAAATAATCCACAAAGGGTTGATAAGCTGTAAAAAAACATCAATATCAAAACACTCTGGGTCAATACGCTCTTAATTATTGCAATTGTTTTATTGATAGTTTTAATCCATCTTAACCAAGATGCTGACGTTTTACACAACCTCAAGTAAACGTCAAGGAAGGACACCACAATGAAAAGAGCTATAACAGCTACTGGACTTGAGAAACCTATTTTCCTGAAAAATTATTTTAACAGAAATATTTTATAAATTTCAAACGGTAGCAACAATCAGTCAATGAATACTGAATGTTTCCTTATAAGGAAACGGTTAATATTACCATTATTATTGTTACTTTTTAGCATAACATTCTGGGTTGATACTTTCTTCAGCTGCTAGAGAAAACAATGACAAATTAAACATAAAGAAGAGATATGACTTTAACGTTTTTAAAACCAAAGACGGTTTAAAGACATGGAAATGAAAAGGTGACAGGATTAGGATTAGGCATCCATCAGTCTCAGGAGACTAGAGAATTGGACTCTGGATGAAACTTCAGGCACATCATCCATCATATCTTGATCGGCCTATTCAAGAATAGCAATCTACATAACACTAGTCTGTCTGCTAGACATTGAGTTTGCATTTTTGACTTTTTACCTCTGACTGTTGGGCAAATGTCACTTTGATACCTTTCTGCACTGCCTGCCCCCACCCCGAGTTGATCATCCAAAGGCTACAGCATCCTACATGTCCCGGTTGATGCCCAGGATCCACAGGTCTTTTTTTTTCTTCTTTTTTTGCAGACATCGTTGCAGTGTAGTTGGAATATGCCTACGAAACGCTTTCCATGAGCCAACTATCCGTACAGGATTTTCATGAGTATCCAAGCTGGCAGAATGATAGCAGTTTTGTGTTAGCATAACATTCAGGGTCAATACTTCCTTCAGCTTTTAGAGGGGAAAAAAACAATGACAAATTAGATATAAAAAGACATGGACTTAACATTTTAAAAGATGATTTAGAGTCCAGAAAATAAAGTGCTAGCAGGATTAGGCGAGTATCTTTCTCTTTTTTGCTTTCAGCAACGTTTTGTTTGATATTTCTTGGTGTTTTCTGCGGGTTCAGTTTCTGTCTGATAATATTTTAGTGCCATTCAGTATTTTTAG